TGCGACACTCATGGAGCTTTCGAAAGCCGCTCCGGCTGACTGCGCCTGCCATACCTCTCAAGAGCCCCTACGACAGGATAGGGCCAATACGAGGTAAATCTTTACCTCCACCTGCGGGAGTTGTTACCTCCCTTCGGTGGGCGTATTCTCGTCGAGCTACCAGTCCACAGTTCGAAAGCTAATCAGTTGCAATCGCAGAGGTGGACCAGCCGAGGGCCTTTCTCGTTCGCTGTAGCATATGGGAACACGCGGTCTTACGCCTCCATCGAACTCGCACGTGAACCGACGCACTGGGGGCTGAAGTCCCAAGCGCGATTCGTCGTCGGTCGACTAGGACGCATCCTACATACCACGCGTTACACCATAACACTCACACACACGGAACGACACAAAACAAACAACACAACAACACTCCTAGTCCCTTTTGTAGCCATCCCATAACCTTCCGATGCGGAAATCGGATAGGCGACGCGCGCGATATTTGGTATAAAACCGCGCAGAAGCAGAGTTTTCCCATACCGACTAGGAATGCATGAATACGCAAGCAGTCGCAATGATGGCGTACTATGTAGTGCCCATAATCAAGCGGTCCCTCGTGGATTTGGGTACCGTTTATGACACTCAATTGCCAATTTCGAAGTATCGTGAGGGTCGAGCCCTTCACGATTTTCCACGGCTGAAGGAACAACCATTCGGCCCCCGTGGCACCTTTGGCCCTTAGGCTGAGTGTCCCGGTGGGCACGACAAATAGGCTCTGCATGGGGGGTGATTCCTTCCGCGCGGAGTCTAGGACTTGGGGTGTCTTGGACGAGGACCTTGAATCCCGGCCCAGGACCAATGTCCAACTGAGAAACTTTAAGAAGCAAAAAAAGGATAAGGGAAGGAAGTCTCCTTTCCTCCATTAGTCCCAACCCCAATTAAACCCTTTAGCGTGGGCTCTTTAGGCCACGTGAATACCACAAGCGGTTATCGGGTCGCTGAAAATTCAGGAATGAAAATTCTGAAGTGAGAGTTTTTGGTAGTCTGAAAATCCTGAATGGTTGTGAAGTGGTGAAAGGTCCGAAGACCCTGAAAACCACCTTTTTAGGTAGGCTGCATCCTGAAGTGGTGAAGGGTGTCCTGAAGTGGTCAAGTGAAGAGTTTTTAGCAGTCTATAAATCATGAATGGTCCTGAAGTGGTGAAAGGTCCGATGACCATGAAAACCACCCTTCACCACTTTAGGATGCAGCCTGCCTAAACAGGTGGTTTTCAGGGTCTTTGAAGCTTTCACCACTTCAGGACCATTTAGGATTTTCAGACCTGATCCTGAAGTGGTGAAAGGCCCGAAGACCCTGAAAACCACCTGTTTAGGCAGGCTGCATCTTGAAGTGGTGACGGGTGTCCTCAAGTGGTGAAAGGTCTGAAGACCCTGAAGACCACCTGTTTCGGCAAGCCGCATCCTGAAGTTGTGAAGGGTGTCCTGAAGTGGTGATGAAAAATACGACTGTTGTTAACCTTCTCTCGCGAATACTCAAACATAGATACGATTACTTCTCACAATCATCGTTGGACTCCTCTCAACCATATATATGTCTTTGATCGCAGGCAGTCAAATCCAAAGTCCGAACCACAAAACATATCTGCAATCACATCAAACATTCAACCATTCTTTGCACTCACACCCCTCGCTTTAGCCACACAAACCTCAACCTTAGCGCACCCTTCCATCAATGAAGTACTTAGTATCTTTGTTAAATGACCATTCAATAGAGTCCGGGTAAAAATACAGTGAAACAAAACAAACCACAGGGCTAAAGCCTTTAGGTTAAGTGGCAAGAGTGGATTGGAGTTGAGTCGTAAACCGACGAATCGGCAACCGACCTGTTATTACTGATAACAGAAGATGATCCTTGTAGGATCAAGCTGAAACTAGTCCAAATCTTGAATCAGAACGATCAAGAGGACTTGCATTGTAAGACACGTCAATGCCCCAAGCTAAATCATTAGTGTATGGGGAATAAATCTCCATAGCACATCCTTACTCAATATTGTCTGCCAAGTAAATCTAAGTCTACCCCTTAAGCCAGTGCCCAAAGAAAAGGTAGACCTTTGGCATATTCTTCCCCATACAGGGTGGATTGCTAGCATCGCCACCTGTCAAAATAGAATCTCACCCCTCTAAACTTAAGAAAATTATGGCAACACTTCCCGTAGGAAAAGTGCCTTTTCAGAATTTATACTAGCTTAATATGAAAATTGGAATAATATCAAACTTTAAAAAGTCAAATTTTGTCTAACTCCCTGAATTAATAAAAATTTGGGCAGCAGTTCCTTTAAAAAGGCAGAACTAATTCCTAGATTTGGGAATAATTTTGGGAATAAATTTCGGCAGACTTCCTAGATTTATACCAACTCAGATAAGAAAGTAAGACTTGAGTTCTGCCAAGACAAAATTTAACTAACTCCTTAGATTTGTAGAAATTTCGGCAGCGTTTCCTGTGGCGCAAGTAGCTTTCCAAAATTTATACAAAACTAAGTGCAAAAGTTTAAAAATAGACAAGCTGAACTTCCCAAAGTCCAATTTTGTTTAACTCGCTGAATTAGCAAAAAATTGGGCAGCACTCCTTTTGGAAAAGGAGACTTTCCAGAATTTTACTAAGCCCTATGTAAAATTTAGACAAGCTGAACTTTGAAAAGTTAAAATCTGACGAACTCCTTGGTTTTGTAGAAATTTCGGCAGCGCTAACTCCTTAGTTTTGTAGAAATTTCGGGAGCGCTTCCCGTAGAGAAAGTAGCTTACCAAGATTCATACAACACCAAGTGTAACAAAAAATCCCAGAAAATGCGAGAATTGACCTAAGTAATAAAACTTAGCTCAGAAAATGCGGAA